CGATGTACGTTCTCCATCTGCTTTCAATATCCCTGATTACTGTGTAGATTTTTATCATTTATCAAATTTGCCAATTCAATCTATACTGGACAACTAAAGCTAATCGCTTATATTTTAATGAAAAATGTTCATAATATTTATTTATATACGGCTAATAAGCCTAATGAGCAGTATTCAACGAATGACCTCGGTTAACAACGGTTAAATTTATCGGGACAATTAAATTGCATAACTTCGCGTGTGATGCATATGTGATGTATTGTTCAACGCAATGATTATGCAAATATAGCATTCTCGAATGACACAACTAAGTATTGGAAATAAATATGCACAAAAATAAAACTACATTAAAAAATAAACGTCACATCAATATCTACTTTTTTCTTTTTTTTCGTTAAAAAAGATGCTATGCATTTCGAGTCTGTAATTTATTTACGTTAATCACACTACTCGCATTTTAACATCTTGTTTTGAAATTTCTACACAGAGAGAGAAGATGAAAAAAATGAAGGACGTTCAGCAAAAACCTAATAGTACGGACGATACATGGAAAGCAATTGCTTAATGATGACTGTGCAAAGCGAGCTAAATTGACTGTTGACGCTGGTGGATAACGTTCCATAAAACGCTATAGCCGAACGGTTATATAGAGATTAAAATCGATGCGCATTTGTTCGCCTTTTGGCTAAGTCAACACGAGGCCGGGACCGCCCAGCAATGAGCGCGGGGTTCGACAGAAAGGAAGACACAGCCTTTTTGAGTTTCGCGTTCCCTTTTATTTCCTCCTCTTGGGCGATGTTCATCGAGATTCTGGAAGGACGATACTCGCTGGTCGGAGCGCGAGCACCTCCCGAACCCGCAATCCTAATTTTGTTACCAACAAATGCAAATTGAAACGTTGACAATTTGGACGAAAATTAAGTTTGTACGCGAAGGTTCGACCAGAGCGGTCGAGCAACTGATTAGAGAAAAACGGTGCGGAACGAAGCGAAATTGATACTTGCAGTCGGTCTCGTGCGAATTTGAGATCTGATTCGAGTGAGGAACCGAGAGCGGTTCGTAACTTCGGTCTTACATTTATTATTTTTGTTTTTCTTTGCTCAGAGATGGGACGTTACCCGTTGTCGATTTAAAACTTTGCCAGGTTATTGGCGGTCATATGCTGACAAACCGTGACAATAACAACGGTGTGTCCCGTCGCCGAACAAGCATGGCGTGATCACGTAGGATATTTCGTGACGTCGAGATTCCGCGATGTCATCGAAATAAAGAGCTACGATGAGACGGCGGATCGCAAACAGCATCAATAGACAATGCAACACGTTGAATTATCTTTCAACGAAAATTACCATTGATTCAATCCTATGCATGTGCTTCGTTATATCATTCGAGAAATTGAATGCATAATTAATATTTATATTTGTATAATTACTGAGTTGAACGATATACATCAGGTACATCGCGTCGCAAGGTTATGCAATTCTACTCTCCCGAAGTTTAATTGCTGTTTGATCGCGTTATATTCATAATATTATACTCGTAATACTACTCGTCAGTCTTATTGACCACATATGAATAAATATTACGAAAATTTTCCTATCAATTATCTCTGGTAAAATGAATTTTTATTTAAAATTCAAGCGCAGTTTATTCTGTTCGTTCGCGTTCTAATAAATGTATCATTACAATCACTTTATCATAAAGTGTATTGGCGATTTTAAAATCTAATTATTAATAATTAATAAGACCCACTGGCACGGATGAATACGGATTGTACACTGAACAAGTACTTCGTCAAATAAATATTAAATAGTAAAAAATTTCTGTCGCTTTATTTTCTTCTTTTGAGGTGTATAAAAATAATCTACCACTTCTTTTCTATTTTGTGTAAATAAAATCTAATTGTTTCATCGCTTACTCGGAACTTCTTAACAAGTATCTGACACGTCAATTTAATTCATTTCAATCATTGTCTTTAAATTTATCAGTACCTACATTTGATGGTTTTCCTGATCTGGCTTTGTCTTCTAGTTCATCTCCCGAAGCAAATTTTTTAAACCATCTTTGAGCGATTCTTATTGCATCTTCTCCAAATATGATAAAAATCTTCCTAGAAGCCTTGGCGACGTCGATTCCAAGTTCGAGTTCATAAAGCAGACACGAACGAATAACATTATCTGATATAAACATTTTAAAAGATTGAAATATTACTTTAAATTGATGTTAACGGCTCGAAACACTACGAATAAATAAAAACAAAGGTATGATATTTATTACACAGTAGATGACTAGTTATTATATATACGCAAGTAGCAGAGCTATTTTAGTTATCTGATATAATATCAGACTCACATAACGTGTGATGACGAGTCTATCGAGATACATATTGTTAGGCTCACTCTCGCACTCACACTTGTGCTCAGGCAAATGAAAACACTCGCGTAACAAATATGAAGCTTTGCTATACACAGCACAGCTCGCTCAAGCTTCTTACAGGAATAATTCTCTATTCTTCAATTCTTGCGTTTGTTCTCGATAACAGCTTGCCGGAGACTCTCTGTCAGCTGTTATTGTTTTTTTCTTTTCGATTTTCCGTCGTCCAGACAATCTTCGTTCAGTTATTAAAATCAGTATCAGATGCCTAAGGCTCGTGGACAACGGACGTTATCACAAACCTTGTGGTTCGGACATAACAATATTATGAAAATCAAATCCATATTTTGGCAACGTATTTTAGACTTTTAAACTCTTAATAATTGCTTAATGCAATTATATCATACATAACTAAGGCCGGGGTTACGATGAACTTCACGTTGCGTCCCATTACGTGAAGTTCATTGTAATCCCGGCCTTACAGTTATGTCATTCACGACTTGCAAATTTTTTAATAGACTTACAGCACGAACGAAGTCGTAAACTACGTGAATTGCGTGAACTAAGATATCGAGAAAAAGTAATTACTACAACGCAAACGAATAATGAAATGCATCAACAGACGAAACATTCAAGTAATTACAACATTATGTAATGATGGATTACGTAATCATACAGAAATTATGGATCATACATAATTGTATAATTTATGTTGGACTATAAAAATATAAAAATACTAAAAATAAATTATTAATACTTTACAGATCACAATCAATAGTATTGTAAAGGTAAATCAAAGCATACATATGCTGTGCTTTTGTAACATCTCAAATTATTATTAAATCATAGCGGTGTGTTTATCACAATGTACTCTTTCATTATAATGCTGTACTCTTTCTCGTTATGATGTATGCTTTAATAATACTTAGAACAATATAAAATCATGATATATTACAGCAGATAGAATATATTATATCATTGTAATGTAGCGCACTTTAATAATATTTGAGATATTATTAAATTAGGATATATTATAACGGTATTATAACAATACATTTAATATTAAAATTGCTTTATAAATATACACACATAAATTATTTTTATTAAGATTTGTTAAGTTTATGATAATGGGAGGATATTGTTTTAAATATTAAATTATTGCAAGATTTGATTTTACTTTTTTCATGAACGCTAATTATTTAAATTTTCATTTAAAATACTTGTCTTATGTTTTTCACGGTTTCGAAGTTATTCCTTCAAAATAAGATGTATTAAATTATCTGTCAAGTGTTTTACTTTTTAGAAGTGAGTTTGGATACGTATATAAAAAATACGTAAATCTTAATTTTTTATGTTCAACAACATATTTCAAGGAGAACAAAGTCAGAATTAGACAGTTGTGACCATTCCCTTGTAAGGTTTTAATTTTTCTTATTATTGTCGCATACATTATATGTCTGAAGACATAAGATTACGGACGGTGCGAAACAATAATTTATGTTGAAGACTATAACTAACATTCTATTCTTATAAAAGTGATGAAATTGTTGAAAAAATTGTGTTTCTATTAATATAATATTTATAAAATTTATTTAATAATATTTATAATTAATTTTTTCATTATATTATATTAGCTATATAAATTTAAGAGTTAATGATATTAAGTGTTCTATTTATCATAATTATTTCATTACATATTATAATACGTTGGAAAGGTGACGTCTTAGCTGTTATTAAAAAAAAAAATATTTTTTTTCATACAAACTGTTTCGAAAATATCACTTTAAAAATGAGTATCGATAAGGTGCATTTACGGCATGTATATTGCTTTATAAAGTTTCAAAGGTAAAACATTTGATACCGCAGTAGGTAAAAAAAATTCAAAGTGCTTTATCAACGATGAATATAGATACATATAGTGCAATACATTTCAGATGCTTATGGATGAAGCATCCAGCTTCAATATTAATATTTCTCTTATATCTCTTTGCTCATTGGCCTTATGTTTTACGATTATTTTCATTACGCCATTGTAAATAAACACTTTTTGATTTTTTACATCATCTCTGTGGAAAAGTCATATAATATAGAAAAATATAAAACTTACCTTTTTAAACAAAAAGGTAAAAACAATAATGCTAAGTACACGCGCAACACATATTGTGTTACTTTTAGAAATTCCAAACTCAAATTATTTTTTTCATGATTCATGTATACCAAATTCAAATTATTTTTCTTTCCAAAATATACCGCGCCAAGATCTTTTGCATTAAATACGTTTTATTGCATTGTACAACTAATTTGTTATAATAATAAGTAAAATAACCATCACGGGCTATGACTCAGTGTTCCAGTAAATAATAAAGATACTGTTTCCGAAGTATCCGAAGACTATGTGTCATTAGGTGTTTTGGATACTATTGTCTTTAGATTGCAAATCGCTCTCATTTGCAGAGTTGATGTTGAGTAGAGTTTCTCAGTTGGCGCTACTGTTTTAATATGTCACTTCTTTTGTACAATAGAACAGTGTTTTGTAGAGTTTTATTATAATTATAAGTTTCGCTTATAAAAACTTAAGTTACGTACATATATATCTTGAAAAAGAAAAATAATTTGAGTTTGAGATTTCTAAAAATAACACAATACGTATTGCGCGTGTGCTTAGTTTTAGCTTTTTGTTTAAAAAAAATAAGGTAAATAAAGGTAAGTTTCATATTTTTCTATATTTTGAAAATATTTCGCGCGCATACAGCAATACTCGGAATATCCACAAAATATTCGATATATCTTCGACTTATGATATTCGATTTATGATATTTATCATAAATACAGTTTGCGAAACCCAGATTGAATAGGTATTGTTAACAGGTTTCACCACATTAAGCCTAGTGCAGAAATTAATCGGCGTGATAACGCGATTTTTTCGAACTAATTTTTCGGAGCTAATAATAGATAGATAGACAGTAAATCCGAAACGATCGTTCTCCGCTTGATCGATCACGATGAGTGATTTTTCTCAATTAACTTGCCGGATGCATATCGTTGGTGCCGTATGCACAGATGCACTTAAATTGAACGAAGCAGTGGTGACGATTAGAATGCTCCTGTTTCGCAAGAGGGTAAGTCAACAATGTTCTCTCATTCAACTGGGCGGTGACAATCAAACGGCGGTTGTCGAACCGCGAGAAACAATTCGGAGATTTATTAATAACAGATAAGAATAGTAACGGGGAAGTAATTCATTAATAACAACAGACAAACAGATGAACAAATAAAACAACATTTTTACTACAGATATATCATACGACGTTCAGAAAACGTTCTCATGGATTCTCTTCGAATATTATTAAGATGCGCACATAACGACATAATTTTACATATTTTCTTTTAATTTATATTAATTGATATATGTCAAAATGCCCGATAAATTCTATCAATTTTTAATTAGTTGATCGAAATCGTAGGGTTAATCAGTTGTCCCATGGGTTTTTACATATTCGCAATAATTCTGCTCGATTAACGAATTAACGAGAATAAATCTTGTGCGTTAGGATATCGAAGGATAATGGCACTTTGCGTTTGCACAAGATCACTATGTGGAAGGCGATATTGCTGTGCGCGTTCTTGAGGTTAGCGGCCACCAAGAAGGCTACCTTCTACAATTACAAGGTCTTCATGGCTTATGCCAATCACGGAGAAGCATCTGAAAGTATTGCGCCACCTCGAAGAGTCCATCGATGGGGTGAGTGCAAATACTGAGCAGCAATTTCAGTAAATCAACAATAGAATATTTTTTCGAGTGTACATGTGAAAGTTTCAATTTCTAACGTCGCGTTGTTACGAACAACCTCTCATACTTCTTCATATCGCTGAATCGACTTTTCAGCTCGATGTTTCTAAAGCCTGAAGCCCTTTGTTCTATTCATGTCCAGGACGTCGTATGTTTCTGGATCTGTAAATCTAATTTCTGGGTCCTGAAATTTCGATGTTTCATTAATCCTGAGACATGTTTCTCCTCATTTGATTTCTCTTCTAAATGTATGCGAAATAAAAATGAAATGCAACATGCCTTCGCGGTTCTCCTTCTGGAAATCGCCAAGCTACATAAAGAGATCCATGGACCTGATGGTGCCTCCGCACAAACTACCCGAATTCCACGAGATGATGAAGGAAGCCGATATACTGTATAATGTCTATATCGACAACGTGCAAGCGCTAATCGACAGGACGACGTTTTAGAACCGAACGCTGTCCTTCGACTTCACCGACTACTACAATCTTGCGGCGATCTATAAGAATCTGGACGACTTGGCCAAGCAGCATCCCGACAAAGTGCAGATCATCGCACAGTGGGCCAGAATTCCAGAAAAGTGTCAAAAAATATATTTTTCGACCGTTTCCGGATTTAAACAAATATGTGTCATTAATATCATGTAATCATTGAATATCGTTAATTTTATTATAGAATTAAATATTATAGAATTAAATAAGTATTAAATAAACATTTAATTATTAATTCATTTATTATATTTTATAATCTTTTTTATTATGTATGTATGTGTGTGTTTTATTACATAACTATATCTAGTAATAATATATTTAACATTTTTTCATAATATATTTAACATTTTTTTGGCATTTGATATTAATTGCTATCAGAACTATTATCGCTATCTAGAGTTAAGCATGTAGGAATTTTTGGCTCACAAAGTATTTTATGGACATCTGCACTAATCGGTTCAATAGATTATATTATAAAAAATGTCAAACATGTTTTGCGGTCAAGAATTTTTGTTTAATTATCCAAAAGACAAGATGCAGGTGAATGATACAGAAAACAATGTCAAAAGAAAATTTTCAATTATGTTTGCAAGTTTGCTTTTGAATATAATGAGCGTTAGTAATCTTCTCAAAGAAATATAATACAGTTTAAGGATAAGAATTTTACATGGCTTAAAGAGATTGTCATAATTCTTGTACTACCAGTCGTTAGTGTGAGTCGTATTCGAAGTATTTAAAAAAACCCTGTTTTCATTATATATATATATATATATATATATATATATATACATACATATATGTATATATGTGTATGCATCGATAATTTGTCTCAATATTCGTACTTAATATTATGACTTGTCGATCAATAATCCTATTTCAATATTTCAATATTTTGATTTTTTGGGACATTGCTTGTCTACCAACATTGCAATAATTATTTTGTTCTAGCTGTCGTAAAAGCAAATAAAAGCAGACGATCTTTTCTGGATATTAAAGTACGAAGCATCAGTTACAAAACCGATTAAGTCCAATCGACGAGTCACGACGAGTACGTTTCCAAAAATCGATATGCTCTGAAAGACAGCATTGATATTTTCGTGCAAGTGAACTAAGTTTTGATGCGTTATTATATAGTAATAGAATTATTTTTTTATAATTTATTATATACTATTAGAAAGAGGAAGAGTCATAGAATTTCTTTATATAATAACGATTTTTATTCATGTCTATTTTATAGCTTGTTTTATTCGATAAAGATATAATTTGTATCAGTTAAATATTACAATCGATGACATTTGTAAAAGACGTCAACTTTATGAATATCTTGCGGTCTTAATATATGTCTGACAGAAAAATCATTTTACATTTCATCAGTTTGACATTAATATTATCAAATAAATATGTATTTATTTAAACAGTCCAGAAACAGTCGAAAAATGTATTTTTTGACACTTATCTGGAATTCTGGCCCACTGTGCATCGTGAGCGGCACGACATAAGAGAGTCGGCCAATCAAGGGTGTGAAAATGTTCTTCAAGCTGAATAAAAACGGTATGTTCGTCAAGGGTGGTATTCACGCCAGAGAATGGATCTCGCCGACCGTTGTCATGTACATACTGCACCAATTACTGACCAGCAAGGACCTGGACGTCAGAAACATAGCCGAGAACTACGACTGGTACATCTTCCCCTCGTTCAACCCGGACGGATATGTATACACGCATACCACGGTAAGTGCGCGCTGTTCGATTTCGCATTCATGTTTGAACCATCCACATTTTAGCTAGAGATTTCTAAATCCAGGAAAAAGAATATTGACCGAGATAATCACTGGCGTCGCGTCGTTGTCTTTTTGAGACATGTTATTACCTTCCTATGCAAGGTGTTACAGACCACACGTTCCATTCAATTTTTTTATAAACGCGACATTTTAGAAAAAAATGTCTCAGACGAAGGTTGTTTGGCTTAAAGAAGAACATAAGATAGCATTTTGTTTACAGATTGCGCAATTTTCGTAATATTCACTGATCATCAATATTCTTAAATTGAAATCTCATCAGTTTTTTATTATATCATTTTTTTCTACCAATTGATTCGAGCAACTTTTGTCTAAAACAATGTTTTATTTGCCTAATATTTTTTGAGATATTTAAGGAAAACTTAGTAACGTTTTCAACATTTAACTTACGATATCTTGCTAACCTTTAAATCAAACAACTTTTATTTCAACATTTTTCTCTGAAATGTCACGTTTACAAAAAATTCTGGTGATTTGTGACATTATGTATATATAGGGTGTCCAGAATCTTTTGGAAACAAAAAATTATGAAGATTAATCGGATTAAACTAAAAAGAAAAGTCAAGCACCATTTTGCAAAAATCGCAACAATTATTAAGTTATTACTAGTTGAAAATGACCACATCTAGTGGCTCTATAAGCTGATAACTTGAAAATTTGCTTACTTATTTGCAAAATGATAAAGGATTTTTTTGTCCAGAATGACTTGATCTACAATCATATGACGGCTGTCTAGTGATAGATACAAATATATTGAACTTTGAACCCTGAATTTTAAACCTGTCGCTAGGCACAGTAGCCGTCATATAAATTTAGAATAGGTCATTCAGAACAAATATGACCTTTACCATTTTACAAATAAGTACGCAAAATTTCAATCATTAATAACTTAATAACTATTGCTATTTTTGCAAAATAATACTTGACTTTTCCTCATAGTTCGATCTGATTAATCTTCATAATTATTCATTTCCAAAAAATTCCGGACATTATATATATACATATGTATATATATATGTATATATATGTATGTATATATATATATATATATATATATATATATATATATATGTAGAGATAGTAGTTTTGTAATTCCCTTATATTGTATCGGACACAATATCATGGACACGTACCAGAAGTCGCTAGTCTTAGGCTACTAAATAGACGATAGTGACAAATATGGTTTCCTGCATTCAACCGAAGAAATGGTTCCTACTGGAAAAGATCGTTGACTTTCTAATGGCTGGTCTAAGCAAGGCGAAGGAACTTAATATTCCCTAATAATAAAACTCGCGACACTAATTAATATCACTGCAATATGTCGCACGTCGTATGGAAAAATGACACAGCTGGAAAATGTATAATTTTGAGCTAATACGTTAAAAATATGCATAAAATTACATTTTGCAACGGGAGAGTGACACGCTTCATATTTTCGATAATTACCGCTGAAAGATGGAAAAGGAGAATTAGGAAATAAAGTATCGTGTATATTCTAATCCACAACTAATGCCCATAATCAGTTTTATTGAGATCTTCTTTTCTCCAGCAGTCGTGAAAAATTACGTTTTTTGGATTATATGTTTTGCCGACACTTATCTGGTATGAACAAAGAAGAATTTAAAAGAATTTTAAAGGCAATCCAACAAAGACAACAAGAAATGAAATTTTAATATATGTAACATTTTGACAAAGAACCCTGCACGTTTCTTGTGAAGAAGTGACTCAAATCAAATTTCTCGCTCATCACTCAGAAGTGCGATTTCCTGCACATTGTCAAATTGAAAAACTGTTGCTGGAGTTTTAGGAGGAGGGAGAACTCACTGAACGCTTATCCTGGCAAAAATAAGAAGTTTTGTAAAGCGTTGACAATCGTTTGATGAGAGTTTTTTGAGAGTTTATACGCTCTTAAACCTTATAAGAATGCCATTGGGTTTCAAACGCTTTCGGAACGCTTCGATCAAACGCTGTACATAACGTTTCGTCAAAGTTTTGCTGAGAAAAACACCTTCAAACGCTGCAGCATTGCAAATTCCACTCTACAAATTCTCTACTGACTGTTTTTAAACTCCTAACGACTCTTATAAACGCTCACATAGACGCTAAACAAACGCTCATGAAACTTTTTATTTTTGCTGGGATATTTATCATCAATATATAGAATTAATTTTTACGTGTTGCTTAACTCTTAAAAGTGCAAAAAGACAATTATAGAAGTGCGCATATTTTTAGTTTTTGCTACTCTACATTGCATGAAATGCAGGAAATCATCGAGAATAATTTCCACCTTTTCTTTTGTCCGTATTAATGTCTAAATATTAAAACTAAGAAAATAGAATATACACATATATAATTACATAAATAAAATTATGGTTTCTTCAATTATAAAATAATTATCTGTCACATTTGTCCCCTTTCTAATCGTGCAAATATCTGTAATTTTAATGACATGAACAAGATTCATGTCCTCAATACATTTTACTCAATCGCTAATTTCTTAGCCAATGCTCTTAATTCCTTTTTCGCAATTTTCCCAGATCCTGTATAAGGAAAACTATCCAAGAACACTACTCCGGCACGAAGTTTAAAATGGTCCATCATATTATTCGCTACATAGTCGATCAGTTCTTGCTCTGTTACCTGCAGGAGAGACGCAATTTGATTACTGTATGCCGCACCACGGTCTGTCTTATATAAAGTAATCAGAGTAACGAAGTTGAACAATCATATTATAATAATATATCATTGAATTTGTCTTAAAAAGGGCCATCATATTTTAAAAAGTAAAAAAAATAAAAAGAAATATCAAATTCACCATTAAAAAAATAAAGTTGACGTTGAAATGTCTTCAAGGTTTCTGCCTATAAAATAATCATTTTCATCATACGACGTTTTCTTTTATACTGAACAAGTTAGTATGAACTATTTTTTCATGTCTTCCACTTTTGTTAATAATTAAATAGGTCACTTTATATGAATCATCCTGTACACACGGAGAGAAGTGTTTAGTAGAGTAAACTAATTTTCCATAAAATATCAGCAATTCAGAAATCACAATTGGAAATATTAGAATTCTGTCTAAATTTAATCAGAAATCTTGATAATTTATCCTGAATTCTTATAACTTCAACCGGAACTTCTGTATTGTTCATATTTTATCATAAAAATTGCTTCGTTCAACCAAACATTCTTTTCTCTCTCTGCGTATGTGTTAAAGCCAACCAACGAGAGTTTATATATCAAATTTCATATTTTGCAAAATAATTTTTGTGAGCACATTGAAAAATTTGGATAATACCGTAGCTCCGTGTTTCTTGGTGACGTAAGCTATAGGATGTTCATCGTCCGTCGAATGAGGCACTGCTACCACCGCAATTTCTAACACTGCTGGATGTGTTAGTAGAAGATCTTCTATCTCCGCGGGTGAGATTTGATATCCTCTGTATTTTATGAGCTCTTTCAGCCTGTCGACCACGAATACCTCGCCATTCTCATCGATGTAGCAAAGATCACCCGAGTGCAACCATCCTGGAAGAAATTCGAATTTATTTCAATCATTTTCATGGAGAGAAACAGAGTTAATTTGTAATTTGGCAAATCCATCTAGTTTATATATTAGGTGTAGATAATTCTTCCGCTTCGTTCATATTTGTCAATTTATATGACGTCACAAGTCACACAAGAAATAAAACTTTTCACTACCTCCCTCGTCAATCGTGCTTTTTGTCGCCTCGGGATTTCTGTAATAACCAGTCATTATATTTTCCGATTTCGCCCACAGCTCTCCCATTTCGTTCGAGCCGAGAGTCTTTCCGCTCTCTGGATCTACGATCTTTATTTGCATATTCGGCACTACAGATCCACAAGAACCGAGCTTGTGGTGCGGCATCTGGCACGTTGCCATTCCACCCAGTTCCGTCATTCCTAAAAACGCGAGATAAAATAGCGGTCAAACTTCTCTTCAGATAATAAATAATTTTGATATTTTGATAAATTTTGAAATTTTGCTATTTTGATATTTTGATAAATGACGATAAATCATTTTGAAATTTTGATGTCGCGTTTGTGACAATCCATCGTACGTATCGTCGGTACGATATCTACCGTAAGCCTGCAGTATGTCGACGTGCGGCAGAAGTCTTTTCAGTTCCTTTTGCGATTCCGGCTTGAGGATAGCACCGCCACAGAAGATAATTTTCAAGGTAGATAAAGAATAATTCTTTACGTAACCGGCTTTGAGGAATCGATTTGTCATGCTAGTTCCTGTGAACAGCCACGTCACCTGAATAGCAAGATGGGTTTTCAATGTATTTTATTACAAATGTAATTTCACGTTGGGATTACCGATTTATTGGATATAAAACTCGTGGACCGAGCATAACGTGTCTGTAAGTGTATAATAAAAAATTCATCGAAGATGCAAGTCGCAACTTAGTTGCCTATTATCGCGATTTGTTATTACATCGTACATCACATTTATATACATCATGAATAGCAACATTTTATCCGAGAATATAATTTGCATAATGAACTAATTTCAATTTCGATTAAGTCGTAGGAGCGCTTAGATAAGTCGACATGTGATTTACGTAAGGTTCGAAACAAAATTCATAAGAAGAACAGCAATTGCACGACAATTGTGGAAAACAAACGAAGAAACAAATTTGCCCGCGGAACTTGTTGGTTATCATTAATATTTGGTTATTATTAACGTTATATACTTGGTCATTATTAACAGTTGATTATTATTAATGGTTAGTTATTAGTGGATAGTTAACGCGTCTACATCGCGATACGAACGGTCTCGGTGAGTTTCCTCACATTCGTCTTACCTTATACTTCTCGATTAAGATACACGTCATCTCTTCGTCAAATTTCGGATAGACGATCACCTTGGCACCTTGACTAATCGCCTTCAGGTTCAACATTATACCACTGACCCAGTAAATCGAGGAGAACCAAAGCGGTACCGTCTCGTTCATATTGATCTTGCTCTCTTCATTCAATGACAGCATAGAATAATTGGACAACTCGACGGCCTTCGGTATTCCCGTGGTACCGGATGAATGCAAGATGCACGACGTTTTCCTGATATTGTCATTCTCGACGTAACGGAAGCGCGCCGCTTGCGCATCGCTGTAGCTGCTCAAAATCCTCGCGAACGAAACTGCGTCGGGGTGGTTGCCGAAGACCACCACCTTGGGCTTGTAATTCTTTTCGCGCACTGCCTGCAGCACCACGCTTACGGATTTCTCGTTGCAGAAGATCACCTTCGGCATAGTCATTTGCATCACACGCAGCGCAGTTTCTGTGGAATGACGAAACGTTAGATCGGACAAACTCTTCGAGTTGACTCAAATTCATTTTCCTCCACGATAAACTTCCATTAAGCAAATTGGGTTTTCGAAGCTAATTAAATTCGAAAGTTGCTTTTGGAGTTAATAAGTTGGCGAGTTAATGATTAAGCTTGAGATTTCAGGTAATTTAAGAGTTTAAATGTAATCGGAAATTTATCGTAGAGAACATACGCAGGCTACGAATGATTGTAATGATGATTCAATTAAATAACATAACACAATACTTCAGTGATATCAATTAATTGCTGACTACATGTATAAAATAATTTTAAGCGAAATTCAATTAAAGAAAGAATAATTTTAAAAATGTTTTACAATTCTTTTAATTTTCCTAATTTTAATATTCTAAAAAAATATATATATTTTTTTTTATATTATGTATATATTCTTTATTTATATATATTATATGTATTATACATATTATATTTATAATTATATTTTACATATATATATAATTATATGTAAGAATGTCTCTATGAAATTTTGAGAGGGATACAAAGGAAATGAGAGAGAAGAAGCGATTTGAATACAAAGGCGTATGATCTGAAATAGTCACGCAAGATTCTGCTTGCGACTTCCATTTGACTTAAATATTCGGGTCGGTTTTTTTTATTACCATCGCCATTCCTCTCGTTTCGTAATATCTAGTTTGCTCGTAGACGTTTGAACTCAGGGATATGTAAGAGCTCAGGGACAATTAGCTTAGAAAATCATACGAGGCTTTGATGCATGTCGCTCCTATTACGTACCGCAACGTAACGTATTCTTTTCTGAGATGTTTGGAGCTATATTGTATTCCTCGATAAATTCGTAAATTTTAACCCCACTGTTTACCTTCTTATAATTCGGTCCCAAAAGACAGATCGGGATATGCATTTAAATAAATAACAGACACACCATGGCGGATATACATATGACCGTTCGGAATTACCTACCTTAAATTAAGATTAAGATCTAAACGTTATAAAACTTTAGACGCTATCCCACAAAGTTTGTATTCTGTAAAGTTTATATGAATCATACCGATGCAACAAAGGGGTTATTACAGCGTTGGCAAATCTTGCTCAGCTATCATATTGAAAAGACGAAGTTCTCGCCCAGTCCCCCTCATAGAATTAAATTTCGATCACTCAATTTGAATCTATTCAACCCTCACTTAATAAGAAATATCACAACCCATCGACGGTGGGTGTAACATTTCGCATGCCATATATTGGCAAAATATGTACAGAGTTATTATTATTATATAGTATGATATAACGTTAAATATATAATTATATAATAAAATATATAATAATTGTTTATACACAATCCTTGAAACGGAAAGAGAAAAATTTTGAAATTTATATAAAAAACATATACAGGGTGAGTCAATTAAAGTGTTACAGACTTATATCTTGGAAATTAATAATTTTTTAGAAAAATGTTTCAGACAAAAGTTATATGGTGTCAAATGGGATATAAGAAGGTATCATTGATTAGACCTTGATTAGCTATTTGAAGGTTACGTGAAGGTCACCAACAATTTTTGAAATGGAACTACTTTTCTTGGCACATTCTTATAATATTCAAGAGCTTTCCAAAACACTACACAAAGTATTTTTTTGTTAAGTACATCCCGAATTATGAAGCTTCAAAGTTGCAGTACTGCCGGCATTTGCATTATCCAAGGTGTACCGTGTGGAGGTTGCATGGTCGGATTTACACCTCTTTGCATATGTGTGTGTGTGGGTGTGTGCGCGCGCGCGCGTGTTCGCACGCACACACACACGCACGCGCGCATACATACACATACACACGCAGGTACACACACATACATACGTACACACACACACACACACACATATACAAAGAGGTGTAAATCCGACCATGCAACCCCCACGCGGTACACCTTGGATAATGCAAATGCCGGCGGTACTGCAACTTTGAAGCTTCATAACTCGGGATGTACTTAACAAAAATATACTTTGTTGTAGTGTTTTGGAAAGCGCTTGAAATACGTTATAAGAATGTGCCAAGAAAAGTAGGGCATTCCATTTGAAAAATTGTTGGTGACCTTCACGTAAACTTCAAATAGCTAATCAAGGTCTGATCAATGATACCTTCTTATATCCCATTTGACACCATACAACTTTTGTCTGAAACATTTTTCTCTAAAATTATTAATTTCCAAGATATAAGTCTGTACACTTTAATTGACTCACCCTGTATATATATAAATTAACATACTATTATGTGTTCTATTATAGTATTGTTTTTCAACTTTATAACATACTACTGTTATTACTAACTGCAATAATAACAACAATAATATTATTAATTCTGTTTACTTTGTAAACAGTGAACACAATGCGTTGGGTAATATATGTCAAAGCCCTGTACGATTTTCAACCAATATCGTTTTAATAACGTTTTATGTCTCCACGAGAAGCCTAGTTCCTGCGAAACAAAAGGAATAGCAATAGCAATAAGGAAATCGGCCGAAAAGTGTAATCCTACCTGAGTTATTCTAACAGGATAAAACTATTTAAAATCATAACGTTGTCCCGAAATTTCAAACGCTACGAACATTTAATTTTTATCACGATATATAGAAAAGATTTTAGACAAAAAGAAGCGAAATAGAGAAAGACAGAATAAAAGTCCAAAGAAAACTAATATGCTTCTGAAGAGGATTGCTAGTTTGTAATCATATTTGCCGAAAAATTGCAGTAGATTGATGGCAATGCGATCAGAGATCAGACAGATGTCAGATCAGAGATCAGAGATCAGAGGTAAATGTTAGCTGTATTATTTTATCGTCATGTGCCATATTCTCTGCATTGAGTGACTTGCATTTTAAAACGCAAGGAATATAAAAAAGAAGAATATAGTTTAGCAGTCAAAAATATAAGGGCTCCGGTTTTAAAGTAGAAGTAAAATACGAATGTGGCTGCACGTAAATTTGAATTTTGACAAACAAAAATATTTATAACATTACTATTAACGTCTTGTGACCTGTGATATGTGAATAACACTTGATCAAACAACGAAATAAAATTGAACGAAGCGGCATGTAACAATGATGACATTATTCGCGTTCCATCACCAGAATCGAATTGTTTTTTTTTTCTGAGAATTGCAGGAAGACTCACGCAAATTCATGTTCTCATCCCATGGGTTGAAGATAGCATTGATATAACTCGCTGCGAGACACGACACGAAAGCATTTATCTGGTTGTGCGTGCACACACTGATTATATCGTCTGGTTTAATTTCCTGTTCCTGCAGCCAAATGGCGCATTTCGTAATTTTTTTCTGGAGTTCCTTATACGTAACCAGTTCTTCTGTGCGTGCGTCGATCTGCAAAGCAAAAAATTATCAGTAGTGTCACGAATGTCTCCAGGTCGCTGGATATGTTCGCTCCATCGCGGATTTGCCGGTTGTAATAATATTCTTGTGATTTTGGAATATTTTTTTAATTATCGATTGTCAATTGTTGATTTTCTTTGCAGTCTCGAGAGAACGTTGCTCTGTCACGAGCTGAAACTCAAATCACTTTCGGTAGTAAAGAAAGAAATATAAACGATCCAGTGTCATAAAACGTGAAATATGTCATTACGTCGATGTTTATGCAACATCGATGCGACGATATGTATTTCTCTTAAATTTTTATAGTTCTCTCGTATACAATGTTATTAAAAATACACTTGATAGCAAATTCGGGATTCCGTTAATTAATAATTCAAAACAATGTTTCTTAAACATGTGTACGATATTTGAAACGCATCGATTTTTCTGTGAAATTTTGAAAAAGAATCTCCTTTAATTTTCGAGACATATTTTCTTTCTATATTTGAAAAATTATTATCCAATAATAGTTTGGAAATATTTATTAAATACTGAATACAGATGTTTGAGAGATTCCACATCAAATTTCTATGTCAAAATGTCGAACTTAATGCTTTTGTCTACGAAAATTACAAATTTCATTCATTTGGAAATGTAAATAACTATGCACGATTTAACATCGTGTGCTTTTGTGGGAGCAAAACCAAATATGCAAAAACCGGAAAATTTGAATATACGAAGCGCAAGAAAGACGAACTTCAAATACGTGTTTATCTTTCGACTATACATTTATGAAGAAACTATCACAGAGAGATAAATAAGATATTAAACATGCATAATTTAGAAGAAGTAATCATCAGATACAGATAAATAAGAGATAAATAAGAAATTAAGCACAGTGACGGTCAAAGAATCTGAATATATATGTTAATAAATGTGCAATTATAAAACGATTTTTGATAGCTTTATTAGGTAACATTGTATTGGGTTGGCAACTAAGTGATTGCGGATTTTAAATAAGAATGAAAATTCAAAATTTTAAATTTGCTTTTTTAAATTTTTTTCAATGCATGTATGCGATATATTGAGCTTCTCTGCAATATCACGTGTTGTGCTATGACGATCTGAATCGATAATGGCCTTGATATGGGTCTCATCGACTTCAACTGGACGGCCAGATCGTGGAGCATTTTTCAATGAAAAATCATCAGAACGAAATCTGGCAAACCAATTTTGACACTGCCTTTCTTTCAAGGCTTCATTCCCATTTTATGTGCTTGCGATGCGTTCTTGCCTTTTCGGAAATAATACAATAAAATATGTCTGAAGTGCACGTCTTGCTCTTCCATATTTAAATTGGGATAAAAACAAAATTAAAGAACTAATCGATATAATTTTTGTACTAAATGAAAGGTAGAAGTCCAAACAATAAGAAAAAAATATAGGTTAGGTACTTTGAACACGTTAACGAAACAAAAGAAAGTGTAAAATCCATCTGTCGACAAAATCCGCAATCACTGTGTTGCCAACCCAATATAATCTGTATAATTAGTATTTTCTGATAATGTTTTATGACATAATCAACGCGATATCTGTAAAATTATTTTCCTTATTAATGAGAAATTGTCGTATTTTTATGTAAAATTTTGAAAAGAAAGTCCCCTTAATTTTCGAAAAATTTTACAGTTACATCTTCGACATGTCACTTTTTCAATTATTCTATTTAAATCAATTCTGTCTCTAGATACATAGACTTCTCTCTCTAATAAAACACGCATTGCCGGAAATTCACTAATAATGATGGCTACAAGATATTCTTCCACTTTCACCATAATATAGTAATAAATGGATATGGCGACAGGTAGATTTGTTTTTTGAAATGCCTAACATTTTTCTCAAATCATCGAGGATCGCGCTTGTGATGTAACAACATAATATAACCATTTTACTTCGTCATTTTTCGTACAACGTTCTGTAGGTTACCAATATGCAATTTTTAATTTGAAATAACAAAGGTCCGAAATTTGAATCTTTTCTATTCGAAAACTGTTCTTCTGAAGAAGAGATCTTAAGTTTTAATAGCCCGAAAAGGTCACAGTTGGAAATTATCATACGCAACGTGACGTTAGATGTGCGAGGGTATGTAGTGATACATTGAATAAATATGAACTAACCTGTGCATCTTTATCACTAAAGCTGTCAATTCTTTTCCAAATCAATTCTCCGATGCTTTTACAAGTGTCGGAATATGGCCTCTTTTGTCCTTTGTAAATATCATTCTCCACCGTGAAATCGGGCTATTCATTCAATTAAAGATTTAATATACCATTAGTTTCGTAATATAAAAAAAATATTTTGCTTTCTGCCTACTACGTTTCAATGTTTACGACATCTATATTTAAAAGGTTATCTAAATTATCTTATCGGGAATGCGATGTCAAGGACATTCTTACCACTGGTTTGTCCGCAACCATTTCACTATGAATTCACTTGCTTTTAAGTTTCGGTAAACGTTATCAGTAAATCAGTAAATGTAATAGAATAAAGTAAAAGACAATCGTCCAACTAGTGTGTCGTCGTTCGAGAATATCACTCTGTTAAAAGAACGTTTTGAAAATTAAACAAACATATTAATTTCTGATTTATTAGATTGATATTGATCATTTGTTTACGAAGTATGGATGAAACAAAAGAAAGTACAAGATAGACGAAAGATTTATTTGTTTTATCAAATTCATCGATAATCGACCGACTCGTTCAATTTGCAGAATGAACTGCTTGAATAATTCGGACATAGAAGAAAATCTAAAAAAAACTTATCTCCGTTGTAAACAAAGAAATTTATGTCGCCCACTTCCGAATTGTTTCGCCTGAATATATGCATATTAATTTCAAAAAGTGGGAAAAAGGCAGAAGTCATAAATAAGCGATAGCCGAATTAAAAATACTTACAAAGAAACAGAACTTATTATCATATTGTAACAATGTATAGTTTGACAAAAATTACTCTTTTTCGAACATCAGAACGAGTTTAGTTATTTTCTGTAGTATTCTGAATACGAATACGAATACGGTTTTCAAATTCTATCATGTCACAATTTTGAGAAATTTGCAGTTAAAGTTAAAACAAAAAAGGGCTATTTTCGTATAATTTAACATATTATAACAATGAAATATAACGTGCTGAAAAAGTTTTGTCGCAATCAAAATTAACTATGTTGTTAGGACCTTCAGTCTTTAAAGAGAATTTTTTGTGTCGGCTAACTGATCGACCAGAGATCTAACGTCTCTAGTTCTTTCAACCTAAGAATATTAATATGATTATATATGTAATATTTCAAATAAGCGCATATATACATAGTTATCTCGTCATTAAGACTATTAATTACAGATTAGATCGATAAAATTTGAGCTTTTCTCGTATTTTAAATCATCTGAATATATTATAAACACTGTTTGAGAAACGCTTAATGAACTTCTGCCCTCGAATTTGTTCCCGTCAATAGGTCACTGATAAATAATTGTGAGTACTATTGGTTCTGGTAAGCTACCAAATAAAATAAAATAATGAAATTCTAATGTATGTCAATAATATAAAATAAAGGTATATTCATCTGTATAATTGTAACTCTCGTTTATACAATATTACTGATTGCGACTGAATTACCGAAACGTGATTAGTCCGTGACACTTGGTGCGGATGAAAGAATCTCTCAAAATTTAAATAAAAATTTGCGACGAGAAATAAATTTTCGCGAGTGGAAGAGACGAGTTGTGGATTCTTTAAACACTACTCCATGACTAACGTATGAAGCTTAGTTAACCTAAAGAAGAGACTTAGACTACCACCTCTCTCCTTACAGCGCTTGTTTCTATTTACTATTGATACGTTCAATATTGATAGCAGCAATATCTATAGAAGCTTCTCTCTCCAGCCAAAGTTTTGCTGACGAATTTCCCTTGTGACTCAAATGTTGTAACCGTCCAATTTCTGACGTTATAATGATCGCCTTAGTACCATAGTTACACTTTTAAATCCTTCAGATTTTTATTTTGTTTTCAGCTTCTACATTTCTGCGATAGTAGCTCAATGTTTAGGAGTAATTTATAACTAGACATTTATGACATAAATATGCTAAATTGTATAAATACAGTTGTTTATCTCTTTTGTGATTATAATCACGATAAGATCAGTTATTTGCCATGCTATATTCAACTCAAATTTTCGAATGGGAAAGATCAAAGAACACTTATCAATCCAAAAGTTCGAAAAAAGACCACGATCGTAAAAATCTCCTCTCTTCTAGATAAACATTTTTCTCGAATTGTTCGTCGCTTATAACGTCACTGCAGTTACAATTACTAGTTAGAATATCGATAATTCATTTCTGAGCTCTGTACATTATCGTTTGGTCTTTCAAAATAATGGTTAAAATCATCACATCCATAATTTTACTATTTCGCTCTCACGATTAAAAATGATGATTATAATAATAGAAAAAAAGAAAACATGTTCATTACTTTTCTATTTCTTATTTCATTCTTATTTCATTCTCAAGTAAAACGGCTCGTCATCACAGAAGGCGAATGGCAATGCCAACAAAATACGAAAATTTGTTGTATATAGGGTGCACGATTTATCTGAAGACATTGAAATATCTCGAGAAATATGCATTGGATAAAAGAAAGTGGTTAATGAAAGTTGTTAGTCTCGAGGGGGACATCCAATGATACCAAACTCGTCCACCCACCCCACTCCCTGGGGATGGGGGTTGGGGGCAACTTTGAAATCTTAAATGGAAACCCCCATTTTTTATTGCAGATACAGATTCTACGCCACAAAATACGTAAATTTTGTCTGAAACTTTTTTTTTATTCGTGATAGATGGCGCTGTAATCGCAAAAAATTATATTTTCCGCAATTCTCCAGAAATGATCATTGGATTGAGAAATAAAAAATACCTGTTCAATATTTTTAAAGAACATAATAAAAGTTATTCCCCCCCCCATCCTCTCGGGGTAGGGTGGGTGGTAACGTTCAAATCTGCATGACGGTTGCCCAGCGCATAACTCAATAGCAGCACAGGAAGTATTAGACCGTAATTACAATGGTCGGTGGATTGGCAGAGGTGACCCGATTAATTGGCCTGCTAGGTCGCCTGATTTGACATCGCCGGATTTCTTTCTGTAAGGTTACCTAAAAGATAAGGTTTATCAACAAGTGCCAACAACTCGTGAAAACATGGTAGAACGCATAAGAAACGCTTGCGCTGAAACTCCCGCAGATATGCTTCTATCCTGTGTACAGTCATTTGAAAAAAGGATCAATAAGTGTATTGAAGTTGAAGGTAAAAATTTCGAACACTTACTCTAATTAATTGAACAGTGAGAGGCAAGGGGACTCACATTAAAAAAGCACCCCGATCTGTGAGAGGCAAGGGGACTCACATTAAAAAAGCACCCGAAGGGAACATAAAACTACTACGTCTTCATCGTTGTTCCTGTGTAACGCTAAAAGTAGTTTCCCTAAAAGCTAAAAGCTAAAAGAAGTAACGTTAAAATCTCAAATGGGGACCCACATTTTTCATTGCAGAATTAGATTGTACGTGAAATTTTTATTGAAACAATTTTTTTCATTCGTGATAGATAGCGTTGAATTTTTCCGAGAAACTACTTTTAGCGTTACACAGGAACAACGACGAGGACGTAATAGTTTTATGTTCCCTTCGGGTGCTTTTTTAATGTGAGTCCCCTTGCCTCTCACAGATCGGGGTGCTTTTTTAATGTGAGTCCCCTTGCCTCTCACTGTTCAATTAATTAGAGTAAGTGTTCGAAATTTTTACCTTCAACTTCAATACACTTATTGATCCTTTTTTCAAATGACTGTACACAGGATAGAAGCATATCTGCGGGAGTTTCAGCGCAAGCGTTTCTTATGCGTTCTACCATGTTTTCACGAGTTGTTGGCACTTGTTGATAAACCTTATCTTTTAGGTAACCCTACAGAAAGAAATCCGGCGATGTCAAATCAGGCGACCTAGCAGGCCAATTAATCGGGTCACCTCTGCCAATCCACCGACCATTGTAATTACGGTCTAATACTTCCTGTGCTGCTATTGAGTTATGCGCTGGGCAACCGTCATGCAGATTTGAACGTTACCACCCACCCTACCCCGAGAGGATGGGGGGGGGGAATAACTTTTATTATGTTCTTTAAAAATATTGAACAGGTATTTTTTATTTCTCAATCCAATGATCATTTCTGGAGAATTGCGGAAAATATAATTTTTTGCGATTACAGCGCCATCTATCACGAATAAAAGAAAAGTTTCGGACAAAATTTACGTATTTTGTGGCGTAGAATCTGCATCTGCAATAAAAAATGGGGGTTTCCATTTAAGATTTCAAAGTTGCCCCCAACCCCCATCCCCAGGGAGTGGGGTGGGAGGACGAGTTTGGTATCATTGGATGTCCCCCTTCGAGACTAACAACTTTCATTAACCACTTTCTTTTATCCAATGCATATTTCTCGAGATATTTCAATGTCTTCAGATAAATCGTGCACCCTGTATATTGCCAGCTTGCAAAAGATAGTCGGATTTTTAGTATTTCTTTCCCTGATAACTGTGCAGATTTTTATCATTTGTCAAATTTGCCAACTCAATCTATATTGGACAACGAAAACCAATCGCTTATATTTTAATGAAAACTGTTTATAATATTTATTTATATGGGGTTAATAAGACTAATGAGCAGTATTCAACGAATGACCGTGGTTAAACAACGGTTAAATTTATCGGGACAATTAAATTGCATACCCTCGCATGTGATGCATATGTGATGTACTGTTCAACGCAATGCGATTATGCAAATATAGCATTCTCGAATGACACAACAAAGCATTGGAAATAAATATGCACAAAAATAAAACTACATTAAAAAATAAACGCTACATCAATATCTGCTTTTTTCTTTTTTTCGTTAAAAAAGATGCTACGCATTTCGAGTCTGTAACTTATTTACGTTAATCACACTACTCGCATTTTAACATCTTGTTTTGAAATTTCTACACAGAGAGAGAAGATGGAAAAAATGAAGGACATTCAGCGAAAATCCAATAGCACGGACGGTACATGGAAAGCAATTGCTTAATGATGACTGTGCAAAGCGAGCTAAATTGACTGTTGACGCTGGTGGATAGCGTTCCATAAAACGCTATAGCCGAACGGTTATATAGAGATTAAAATCGATGCGCATTAATAGACAATGCAACACGCTGAATTATGTTTCAACGAAAATTACCATTGATTCAATCCTATGCATGTGCTTCGTTATCATTCGAGAAATTGAATGCATAATTAATATTTATATTTGTATAATTACTGAGTTGAACGATATACATCAGGTATATCGCGTCGCAAAGTTATGCAATTCTACTCTCCCGAAGTTTAATTGCTGTTTAATCGTGTTATATTCATAATATTATATTCGTAATATTACTCGTCAGTCTTATTGACCACATATGAATAAATATTACGAAAATTTTCCTATCAATTATCTCTGGTAAAATGAATTTTTATTTAAAATTCAAGCGCAGTTTATTCTGTTCGTTCGCGTTCTAATAAATGTATCATTACAATCACTTTATCATAAAGTATATTGGCAATTTTAAAATCTAATTATTAATAATTAATAAGACCCACCGGCACGGATGAATACGGATTGTACACTGAACAAGTACTTCGTCAAATAAATATTAAATAGTAAAAAATTTCTGTCGCTTTATTTTCTTCTTTTGAGGTGTATAAAAATAATCTACCACTTCTTTTCTATTTTGTGTAAATAAAATCTAATTGTTTCATCGCTTACTCGGAACTTCTTAACAAGTATCTGACACGTCAATTTAATTCATTTCAATCATTGTCTTTAAAATTTATCAGTACCTACATTTGATGGTTTTCCTGATCTGGCTTTGTCTTCTAGTTCATCTCCCGAAGCAAATTTTTTAAACCATCTTTGAGCGATTCTTATTGCATCTTCTCCAAATATGATAAAAATCTTCCTAGAAGCCTTGGCGACGTCGATTCCAAGTTCGAGTTCATAAAGCAGACACGAACGAATAACATTATCTGATATAAACATTTTAAAAGATTGAAATATGACTTTAAATTGATGTTAACGGCTCGAAACACTACGAATAAATAAAAACAAAGGTATGATATTTATTACACAGTAGATGACTAGTTATTATATATACGCAAGTAGCAGAGCTATTTTAGTTATCTGATATAATATCAGACTCACATAACGTGCGATGACGAGTCTATCGAGATACATATTGTTAGGCTCACTCTCGCACTCACACTTGTACTCAGGCAAATGAAAACACTCGCGTAACAAATATGAAGCTTTGCTATACACAGCGCAGCTCGCTCAAGCTTCTTACAGGAATAATTCTCTATTCTTCAATTCTTGCGTTTGTTCTCGATAACAGCTTGCCGGAGACTCTCTGTCAGCTGTTATTGTTTTTTTCTTTTCGATTTTCCGTCGTCCAGACAATCTTCGTTCAGTTATTAAAATCAGCATCAGATGCCTAAGGCTCGTGGACAACGGACGTTATCACAAACCTTGTGGCTCGGACATAACAATATTATGAAAATCAAATCCATATTTTGGCAACGTATTTTAGACTTTTAAACTCTTAATAATTGCTTAATGCAATTATATCATACATAACTAAGGCCGGGGTTACGATGAACTTCACGTTGCGTCCCATTACGTGAAGTTCATTGTAATCCCGGCCTTACAG